AACTGATTTTCTTCCGTCGGGATATGTTCAAAGGTAACCTCTTCAAAGTACGGGATCAAGGTTAGTACAAGTTCTTTGTAAGGGATAAGATTTTGATGTTTTGTATCCCACTCTCCTTTAACTTGACTGATTACTAAAGCTGAGTCTCCATATACACTTAAGAATTTGATTCTTAGGTCAATAGTAGCCTTAAAATCCAAGATGCACGCTTCGTACTCGGCCATATTGTTGGTACAATCAAAGCAGAGTCTGGAAGTGAAAGGCGTATGGTAACCTTCGGGGGAAATAATCACATCATCAATTTTGTTACCTGATGCGTTGGAAGCTCCATCAAAAACCATATTCTATCAGGATCCTTGCTCAGGTCCTTCATACAGTCTAGGCTTTTCACAATCTGTAATTAGCATAATATTCTCGTCGGGGAATTCAAAGTTCATAGATTGGTAATCATCCACGGCTTGATGTGCCAAATGATATACCAGCACACTTCCTTTGATTGCTTTTTGTGTAGTGTACTGGATGTCGTACTCAGTTAAGATCATTTGCCATCGGGCTATCCTTCCGGAGAGAGATGGCTTCTCAAAGATGTATTTGATGGGATCCATCTTAGAGATCAATAGAGTAGTATGAGTCAACATGTACTGTCTTAGTCGGCGAGCAGCCCATGCCAAAGCGCAACAAGTTTTCTCGAGCAGTGAATATCTTGTTTCACAGTCGGTGAACTTTTTGCTAAGGTAGTATATTGCATGCTCTTTTCGACCAGACTCGTCATGCTGCCCCAACACACACCCCATTGAATTCTCTAAAACAGTTAAGTACATGATCAAAGGTCTTCCTTCAACTGGTGGCATCAGAATTGGAGGTTCTTGAAGATATTCTTTGATCTTGTCAAAAGCAATTTGACAGTCGTCATTCCATCTGACTACTTGATCTTTCTTCAGCAGCTTGAAGAGTGGCTCACAAGTAGTAGTTAGGTGAGAGATGAATTGAGCAATATAGTTTAGTTGTCATAGAAAACCTCTAACCTTCTTCTCAGTGCTATGAGCTGGCATTTCTTGGATAGCTTTGAATTTTGAAGGATCTACCTCAGTACCTTTGCCACTGACGACGAAGCCTAGGAGCTTTCCAGACCTTACCCCGAAGATACATTTGTTGGGATTCAACCTCAACTTGTATTTCTTCAACCTCTCAAACAGCTTGTGCAGATAATCAAGGTGCTCTTCCCCAGTTTGGGATCTTGCTATCATATCATTCACGTAGACTTCTATCTCATGATGGATCATGTCATGAAATAAAGCCACCATATCCCGTTGATAAGTTGCGCCTGCATTATTCAGCCCAAAAGGCATGACCTTATAATAGAAGGTGACCCATTGTGTAACAAAAGTTGTTTTCTCCATATCTTCAGGCACCATTTTGATTTGGTTATAACTCGAGAAGCCATCCATGAAGGAGAACACCTTGTGTTGAGCAGTGTTGTCAACTAAGACATCAATATATGGTAGTGGGAAGTCGTCTTTGGGGCTTGCCCTATTTAAATTCCTGTAGTCTACGCACATACGGAACTTATCATCTTTCTTCGGCACTGGAACAACATTTGCAACCCATTGGGGATACGATGTCACTGCCAAGAAACCCCCATTGAACTATTTCAATACCTCTGCCTTGATTTTCTCGGACATATCAGGACACATGCGACGAACCTTTTGTTTGATCCGAGAACAACCCTCTTTCATAGGCAGACGATGAACCACGATATCAGTATCGAGCTCCAGCATGTCTTCGTATGACCCAGCAAAGACTTCAACATATTTGCGCAACATCTGTACTAATCTGCTCTTGACATTGTCTTCCAAGTTGGCACCGATCTTGACTTCTTTCTTATTTGCCTCAGTATCCAAGTTTATCACTTCGACCAATTCTTTGTGCGGTTGGATAACCTTTTCCTCTTGTATCAGGAGTCTAGCAAGTTCTCCAGGTATCTCACAATCTTCTCCACCTTCGTCTTCGACTTGATAGATTGGATTTTCGAAGTCATAAACGGTAATAGAAGAATTGTTTTCAATGAGATCTGGAGTGGATGTGGATCTGTAAATGTATGTGTGTGCATGTAAGGTCACATGGCTATTTTGAAAATGCAGTAGAGCAAAAGAAAGACAAGGAGCAAAAAATTTGAATGCAAAATCGTCTCATGTTTTCATTAAATGAGCATATGATATATGAAATGATAACCCTTAACAAATGGACCATTGCAGTTAGGCTTGCAACACAATTCTCAGATTGATCAGCAGTGGTCTCTTGTGGTACATGGGCATTCTTCAGAAATTTCAACAAAGCTTGGGCATGTGCTTCAGAGCATAACAACAAGGACAACATGGATATCTTTAAGGGTGTCTGCCCCAGTTGTTCGACTATTTTGTAGTCACTTTTCCGGATGATCTTCAGAATTTCTTCCATCTCTTGTCTTGAAGGGTCTTCAACTGTAACATCTTTTGAGGGTGTCTCCGTCAGGGCAGGCTCAGTAACTTTCTCTTTACCTCGGGTATCAACAGTTGGTCTAGCAGCAGGAATACAAACATATATTGTAGTAATTGTTGAGGGAGAGATATCCAGAGAGAAGATCCTTCCTGTCCTAGTGACCTTACTACTTCCAACAATGTTTGTAATTTCAACATCTTCATTTTCAGTAATTCATGGCTCTTGCTTGACACCATGATAATAAACTTCTGCCCTATAGTTCCAAGGCACAACTTTGTCGGAGGAATAGGAGATTGGCCCCGATGTAGTAATAATCTGGGGAGACACTCTTGGCTCAGCAGGAATCCTTATAGGGACTTTAGAGGTGATCCTAATAGGGGTGTTGAAGATGGTGATTATGGAAACATCTTCAAGTCTCAAATCTTGGAAAGTACTTTCAGGAAAACTCTTCATGGACGAAGTTTTCTCGAACAAAATTTCATGACTATCAATCAGGCGTTGAATACCTTTTTGCAGCCACATACAACCATTGGTTTGGGAAGCACAATGGTAACAATTTTCAAGGCAGCCAGAAAATAAACCGACTCTTAACAGATTCTTCTTAACAGTCAATAAGAGAGTAGTTAAATCACTGATGATGGAGGCAAAGGAGACATCGTCAATGGCATGAACACATTTACCATGATTGAGCATGAGAGCAGTAATGACATTAGGGGTTTGTGGAGGGTCAAACTCAATCACCTTGTTATCAATCAAATCTTGGATCTTGTTCTTTAACGCCCAACAGTTGTTGGTGTCATGGTCAGAACTATTTGAATGATAGGCGCATTTCACGTTTGGATTATATTTGGGAGATGTAGTATTGGGATTTGAAGAAGGATCTCGCAGCGTTACCAAATCTGCCTTCAACAGATGTTGTAGAGCTTGAGACAGTGGCATGTTAATCTTAGTGAATTGCCTCTTTGGGGCATCTGGCCTTTACTGATTGTTGGATTATTATGGTCGTTGAATTGAGGTCGGGTTTGAGATCAATACAGCTCCTATTGACTGATGACGATCATTCTTGATACGAACCCTTTGTCCATAAACACGTCAGTTTCCTTCTTACCAACAAATGGTTTCTTTACAGCGGTAGAGGTTGAGACCATTGGAATTTTTCCACTTTTGATTCCACTTTCAACATGTTCACCAATTAAAATTAACTCGGTAAACCCTGACGAAGAACTCCATATCAACAAATTAAAGAATGGACCAGTCAAGGTGCCCATGAACATGTCCACTAATTCCCTGTCAGTCAAAGGGGGTTGTATCCTTCCAGCCAAATCCCTCCATTTTATAGCATACTCCTTAAAGTATTTGTTTGAACCCATAGTCATATTCTGTAATTGCACGCGAGTTGGTGCAAGGTCAGTGTTGTATTGGTATTGTCTATAGAAGACAACAACCATATCCTCTCATGTGTGGATATTAGTCCTCTCAAGTTGATAGAACCACTCCAACTGTGTCCCAGATAAGCTTTCTTGGAATAAGTGTACCCATAACTTCCTATCGACAGTGTGTGGTAGAATATTACGGACATAAGACCTCAGATGCATCTTTGGATATGAGACTCCATCGTATTTGGCGAAGACAGGAACTTTGAATTTATGGAAAATGACCACCCCAGGGACCAAACCTAAGTCTCCAAAGTCTAAATCAGGCATTGTTTAGATCTCTACGGCCTTAAGTCGGTCTTCTAGATGTATGTATTTCTCATTCGCCGGTGGATACTGCTCTTCGGAATAATCTTCGTCCTCAGTAATCTGATTATTTCCACCCCTAACTCTGGTGCTTCTAACTTCCTCTTCTTGACTGTCTTCTTCCTCAGAAGAAGCTTCTTCTATTTGAGTTAGTCGGGCTGGCCCCTTGAACCTTCTTCCCTTGTTGAGGATAACAGCCCGTTTCTTGGTCTTATCTTTGACGGTTTTCTCTAGAGCCATTTTATACTGAAATAAACAATAAAAAGATGAGGAAACCTGTATCGGGAAATCTGCTTATGAAATGATGCATGCTATGTGCTTAAGGAATTTAAACTTGCTAGCCAAAAAAGAAAACAAACACAACAATTGTATTAATGAGTTCAAAGATTACAATTTCCCCTTGGGCTTACAATGAAAAAAAGAGACAACAAAATAGACTACTAAAACAAAAGACTTAAGTCTCCCACGGGCGTTTCCTCTATGGTGCAATGTATGCATTCAGGCTTCGTTCCTCGTGAAGTTGCCTTGTAAGCTCTAATATTTTCTTCTCGCTTGCATAGAATCGAGTTTCAAAGGTGTCTCGTTCCCCCTTGAGTTGAATCCGCAATCTCTACAATTCTTCGAAGTCGGTAAACATGTCAGGATGGAGTCGCCATATACCATAAGTAAGCAGTTCATGTACTATTTTGCCATTGTTGGGGAGAACAAAATATACTTGTTTAACAATCCTTGCAGCCTGATGCAGAAAAGAACATTGAACAACATGTAAATGAGTTTAATCTTCTAGTGTGAGTGCATGGGCATGGGTGGCCCCTCTGATTGCTCCAACAACTGCAGTATTTATCCACATCAAACAAAATTAACGATGTTGAGCGTAGAATGTCAAAAGACAGAACAACGTCAATTGAAATCACAGTACAAAGTTTAATAAGTATTCACAATATTGCAACAAGAACATAAAGTTTTACCAAAAACTCTGCACCAGACACCAAAAAACTTGTCAGCTCTAAAATCAACTATAACAAAGCAGTTACTAGTTCCATTTAACAAAACCACAAAACAATATTATAGTAAATAAATTCAAAAATGAAAAATAATAGGGAAAATATCACAAAACCTAATAAATCTCCTTGAAACACTGACCCTAAAATACATTATTGAGTGTGGTTTAGATAAATTGATATTTCAAGTAATAGTAGTTCTTACTATTGAGTATGGTTTAGATAAATTGATATTTCAAGTAATAGTAGTTCTTATTATTAACCTAACATATTATAAAGAGAAAAAGTGACTAACGACGAAAGGAGCGTCGACCCTTTGAATATAATGGCTTTGAGGCAGAGAGCTTTCACTTCAAATTCAAATAGAATAAATGAACAAATAAGTTTATGTCCATTAATTCGCAAATCCCATACAATCTATGCAGATAACCACTATTTGTAATTAGAGAGTAATATTGCAATCATGCTTAAGTGATAGTGTTCAAACCTCTTCAGATATAGCTCTTCAGATATAGTTGTAAAATGATTGTTAGTACTGCTTTAATTAAAAAAAAGAGTGATTCATCAGTCACTGGAATGAACCTGCTTTGAGTTGAGTCCAAACCATAGTTTGATCTGAGTTGCCTTGAACCTTATCCTAGATAAAAGTCTTTAACTTGGTTTTAGGAGTAAAGACAACTGTAGCAAAAAGAAGAAGTAAAGACAACTCGTTTCACAGATGGTGATTTCACACATGTTTTAAGAACGCTAAGAGTTTCCTTCACTGCCGAATCAATCAACTCATTCTAAAATATAGAAATAAAAAATTAACAGTGTAATATGAAGTTTTTCATATTAAGAGTCTTCATAATGCATGTATCCTTAACAAACAGAATGCTTATAGACAGAGAGAAAAACTCAAGCCATACATTGAAAATAGATAACACCTAAAAAGAATTTTTTAAAAGTGATATGGTATCAGAGCCTAAGAATGCCTCTCATAATGAAATATCACAAAGATGTATATGTCCACATGAAAACACCAAATGGCCGCTAAAATTAAGTAATAGAAATTCAAAGGGGATATATCAAATGCATGTAAGGAATGTTACCTTTTCACCGAGACAAAGATGAAGATTGGGAAACGCAGCAGTGGCAGGATGGACGGAAGAAGCAGGAGCAACATCAGAATCAAACTTGGCAACCAAAGAAGGTGCGCCAGAGGAGGAGGAATCCACAATGAGTCGCGGGAGTCGCAGACGATAGAAGGAGAAAGGCTTAAAGAACCACAAACAATAGTTGTTAATCTTTGCACCCTTTATAGATCCTTCAATATGTTTAGTAACAACCAATCACAAACTCTTCTTATGTTTGTTTCATTTAAAACTATCTAACCTTAGACACAATTCACACTTGTTATAAAAAGTGGAAGAGAAAACAATTGTTACAAAAACCTAAGACACAATCCACAAAAGACAATATCAAAAACTCCAAAAAAAATACCAAGTAGCAAAAATCAGAATCCAGTAAGGGAAAAAAACAAAGTGCAGAGTAGGATAAATCGATAAAATATAAGCATAAGATGCATAAATTAATTTGTATACATTATACATCAAATTGTTCACATTCCTAAAGTTAAATGTATACAAAAAGTCTCAGTTGTTCTAAACTATTAAAAAAATGTTAATCAACTCCTATGCTAGATTAGAAAAAACTAATGACATTTGGTTTTTCCTTCTGGCCTTATAATCATTCCAGCAGAACATCATATATTCAAAATTAGCCTGTGTGGAGTGGATTACTAACTTACATCTAAGCTTCCAATTATTTCAAAGTTCAGCCTGCAAATTTGGAGGGTTATCAGCAAAATAAAAGCTTGATAAAATTCTAGCTTCCCCCCATTTTTGCCAACTTCCAATTCAAGTAGATGCAACATTTCATCCTTCTTCTTTTGTATCCAGTCTCGCTGCTTGACACTACTGTCACGGTGTTCCATGAATAGAAAAAAAATCCAGGCAATTAGATAGAAGTGAAACAGTTGGCGTAGATGTCAGCAATCCAATCGGACAATATGTCTTTGGCTCTCCATATTGTTTAACAGATGGTATAAAGTCCTAATAGACCGGAACATGTCCATTCAAAACATAAACCTCAATTACCCAAGCATCGATGAGTTACCGGTATTTTCAGCTCAGTCGCCATAGAAAAATACGACATTTGCAATAGGCACCTATAAAAATATCAGAAGAAAATATTGGTTGTTATGCAGAAAGAGAACATTAATGTACATCTTATAAGAGTTTCTTAACCAAGAAAATGTTGTTGTGATATTAAGCAATAACATAACAATTATTAGGTTTCTCCGTGCTCTTCTCAATTTAAAAAACCTATCTATCACTTTTTTCAACAGCCTCTTTATTTCTCCTGTTTTGCGACACATCAAGAGCAACCATTCAAGTTGCATTTCCAATCCCACTACCTTCACTTATAATAACAAACAATCCAAACCAACCAGAGGCTCACTATTGCTAGAGCCCAGTCTCTCAGACATCCATGCCTTAATGGTAGGTTTGCTACATATACACAACTAGGCAGTAAGTGATGGAAACAAATCATTTTATTTGGGACACCTTCTTCATAAAGCTCTCGACCCATGAAAAACTGGTCTGGCCACACCCAACCACCACTACCTTATTTTATTGCCACACAGTGGATGGTTATGTCACTATATATCTGAGATCTTAAACCAGAATTACATAAAAATTTGAGATTCATGTGATCTTTACATGATCTAAACAATTCAACATGCACCACCAGTGACAAAATGATAATTTATACAAACTGTATCGATTGAGTGAAGAGTTGCATTTACGCACGAATAAAATTGCAATCCAAAATATTGAATTATAAAAAAAACAGATTCGAATCTTAGTTCCATACTTCTGGAAAGTACTACAACGTAAAGTCAAGAATGAGCAAATCGAAAACTGAGGAGCAAATCGAAACTGAGAAACCTAGTTATATATAAGAATACATCTGTAATCCGCACAAATCAATAACAAATAAAAAACTGAGTCAAATAATTACCTGAAAAAGAGAAATCATTGATGAGAGCATAAGTGAATCGGCTTCTGGATGCATAAGAGAAAATGAATTAAGAGATTAAATGATATGTACGTTAATATAATTTTTTTTACAATATCAATGTATCACAATATTCATTAATATTATTTAATAAATAATTAAAATAAAAATAAAATATAATTTATAATCTAATAATAATAATTTATTGATAGTGTAAAATTTATTTACATTGTTAATTTATTTCAATTAAATTCATGAGTTAAATATAATTTTTTTCACCATCAATATAATTTGGTTGAGGTTAGTTGTAACATCAAATAATTTCAATTTCTTCTCGATCGTAGTTGTGGGAAACAAACAATAATTCTCTTTACTAAATTTAACATCAATCGCCACTAAATCAATTAACGATTAATTATTTTTTTGATTTTCTTATCTTCAATCAAAATAATATTTATTTAATATTCTTAATTTTTTAATTATATTTGATTAATCAACTATTTATTTTAATTATATTTTTTTATCTACATTTTAATTATATTTGATGAAACAATTATCTATATTAAATATTTTTAAAAAATAAAAAATATAGTAGTAATATAAACATTAATTAAATTAAAAGTTAAAGACTTTTATTTATAATAATAGTAACTTTTATTCGTAATATTTTTAATAATGACCGCACAAAAAAAAAAAGTGATACAGTAATATAATATTACTTTAAACCTAACCTCGTAACCTCGTTGCAACACAGACAACAATGTTGTTGAGATACAATGATACTGTGTCTCTTTTCATGCCTAAATTCATTCGTCCGTTCCTTTCAACAAGGCTATACTCTGAATTCCATGAACAAGGGAAAGATAGTCTCGTTTCCTCATTCATTACCTTGCTTCGTCAGAATCCTACCCCACCCATCATTGAATTTGGCAAGATTTTGGGTTCCCTTGTCAAGGCCAACCATTACTCCATTGCTGTTTCACTTCATCGACAAATGGAATTCAACGGAGTTGCTTCAGACTTAGTCACTTTTAACATCTTGATCAATTGCTTTTCTCAATTGGGTCTAACCTCTCTTTCCTTTTCTGTATTTTCCAACATTCTCAAAAAGGGTTTCCAGCCAAATGCCATAACTCTCACTACACTCATCAAGGGTCTCTGTCTCAAAGGTCACCTCCATCAAGCATTGCAATTTCACGACAAGGTGGTAGCACTGAGATTTCACCTGAACCAAGTTAGTTATGCGACCTTGATCAATGGGTTATGCAAAGTTGGAGAAACAGCAGCAGCCCTGCAATTGCTCAGACGAGTTGATGGGAAGTTGGTTCAGCCTGATGTGGTAATGTACAACACCATTATTGATAGCATGTGCAAAGATAAACTCGTTAACGATGCATGTGATTTATATTCTGAAATGCTTGCTAAGAGAATTTCTCATAATGTTATCACTTACAGTACTTTAATTAGTGGATTTTGCGTTGTTGGTAAATTGGAAGTAGCAATTGATTTGTTACATAAAATGATATTGGAAAACATAAACCCCAATGTCTATACCTTTAATACACTGGTTGATGCATTTTGCAAGGAAGGAAAAGTCAAAGAAGCTAAAAATGTGTTAGCCGTGATGATGAAAAAAGGTGTAAAACCTAATGTTGTTACGTATAGCTCTTTAATGGATGGATATTGTTTAGTAAATGAAGTGAACAAGGCTAATTTTGTATTTAAGACTATGACCCAAAGAGGAGTAACTCCTGATATTCAGACCTACAATATCATGATTAATGGGTTTTGTAAGATAAAAATGGTGGATGAAGCTATTAAACTCTTCAAAGAAATGCATTGTGGAACAATCATCCCAAATACAATAACTTACAATGCCCTTATTGATGGCTTGGGAAAATCAGGTAGAATCTCATATGCTTTGGAGCTTGTGGATGAGATGTGTGATAGAGGACAATCACCGAATATATTTACTTATAACTCTATATTGGATGCTTTATGCAAAAACCGTCAAGTTGATAAGGCAATTGCATTGTTAGCAAAATTGAAAGACCAATGTATTCAACCGGATGTGTGCACATACAATATTCTTATCAAGGGGCTGTGCCAAAGTGGACGACTAGAGGATGCACGGAAAGTTTTTGAAGATCTTTTGGTCAAAGGCTACAATCTAGATGTCTATACATATACTATTATGATCCAAGGGTTTTGTGACAAGGGCTTGTTTGATGAAGCATTGGCCTTGCTGTCAAAAATGAAAGACAATGGTTGCATTCCAAATGCTAAAACTTACGAAATAATTATTCTTTCTCTGTTTGAAAAAGATGAAAATGATACAGCGGAGAAACTTCTTCGTGAAATGATTGCAAGAGGTCTATTGGAAGATTGAAACTAGGTAAAATATTTGTTTATTGTGTACCTTATTATTTCGAATTCATGTTTCAACACTGTTTCATCATTTCACTTTATGTTTTGTTTTCCTTTTTTTGGGGTTTGTGTGTCTATAATATACAGTGCTTATATACTTTTAGGATGACTTAATTTTATATGCCTTTTATGGAGTTATTTGGTGTATGCAAATCAAGATAACGGATAAATACTTAGAAAGTTTTTTTTTCTTTTTTTTCTTCATTTTTTGCACTTGCTTTTGTATTGTGTTTTTTGTACGCTGGAGTTATTAATGGTTGTTGTAATGTGGTTTTTGGATATGATTTTTATTACATGAAGCTTGGTGGTTGAATACTTGAATCCATCCATTTCATCCCGACCTTGGTATATGAAAGAGTTTTCACAAGAAATGTAATGGATTTAAATGGTGGTTAAAGCTATGAATGTATTTGAATAAATGCTTTGTAGAAAAATCATTCATTATACAATAGCTTACAAATCTGAGAGAATATCATATGTTTGGAGTTTGGCAATGAGATGTATGATAGAGATCAACCACCTAATATTTCTTTTTTCTTTGTAATACTTGTATTTCTGCATAATTAAATCTTATGAAGCTTAACTGTTATAAAATGATAAACCAAGGCCTCATTACAGCTTCAAAATCTAATTAAATATGCACTAAAGACAAGTATTGATAACTGAAATGGTCTTCAAATTGTTTGGTCCCTAGGCTTAAAGTTTATAACTTGAATGCTAAGTAGGAAGCATGCTTCTGTTTTTTACATAATTGCTGGTGCTGCTAAATTCTAGTTGAAATATTTAGTATCTAATTCTATTGTTTTTGGTTTAGTCATGCTTTCATCAATAAAATTGAATGCTTTTGGTTTAGTATTAGCTAGTCCAATACCTTCGTATAAAGAAGCATATCCTTGTAAACTTCCAAAGCAGTTTTCCAGGTTCTGTCAATTTCTGTGTATGCAAGTATAAGAATAGTGTTTTGTGGGAGCACTGTTATATGCAGTTTTTGTCTTTGATGCACAACCAAGTATTTTCTAGTCTCTTTTATAGCAAGTCTCATGTTTCATATATTTCAAAGGATTTGCATATAACTTATTACTTGCGGATTATATTGTGTAAAAGCTCTTGATGAAAGCATGTAAGAGAAACATGATCACCAATTTAGTTTGTTTGTTTATGCATTTGAAAGACACATATATACCTTTCTTTGGTGTTTACATCATTGATCTCACAATTATCATACTTCAAGTAGTCAATTCCCATAAAGAATCATTGAAAATTGATGTTAATTAAATTCATATAGTATATAATTTATGTAAATGCAAAATGGCTTTTGAATGAGCTGCATATTTCACGGGAAGCAAATGATTTTACATCTTGCACTTCATGCCCTTGGGATCCAGATTCCAGACATCTTTATTTTCATATTTAAAATAATTTTGAAAAATAGTTCTTGTCACCAAAAAAATGATTGAATAGCGTACTAGACCACTCTTTTTAAAACATTGTGATACTGTTTAAAATTTAGCAAGTAGACTATATGAAGTTTATAGGATAAAATAATTCATTTATATTGTTTGATAGCCTAGTGTATGTACTTTTCTAAAATACACTTTTATTGAAAAAAATCTCAAGTTCTACATTGGTTAAAGGTAGAGTTGTGGTTCTATGTATTGTGCATATCATAAAACTTAAGTGATTTTGATGATGACCAAAGAGTAAAGCAGAGTTAATCATAAGTATCATCAATCATATGCATCATCAGAAATAAGATATCAAAAAGTGAATTTGATCAAGTTCTAATGTTTAGAGCAAATAAGTTGAGTCATATTTGAAAATCGTCATCAAAAGAAATTAAAGATATAAAAGCTCGTCTAGTCTTGCGCTTTAATGTTTTATTTTTTTTAATCAATAGTGTGTAAAATAAGCAAGAGTAATTTTTGAGGTATTAACAATGTATACACACGCTAAATCAATCTTGACGCTTACCGAATCGATTAAAGAGAGATTTTGACAAATTAGGAAAGCAAGATTCGTTGTCTAATCAATTAGAACCTATTTCTAATCTATTAAGGAGTAAGCTCACCTCATATTCGATTAGGAAACCTATTAATTTATTAAGGAAAGTGTTCTGGACTGGGCCTGTCTATTCTGGACTGGGCCCGATAGGCCCAAAAGCATTGCTAAGGCCCAGTCCAAAGGGACTTACTGAGGACCACGCCGAGCAAAGGGGTCACATCCGTGCCCGACATCCTGATGTCCAGCTCGACATCCCGCTGTCCAACTCCACGTGGTGATGTCCAGCTCCACCTCCTGACGTCCAGCTCGACACCCTGCCGTCCAGCTCCACGTCCTGACGTCCAGCTCGACACCCTGCTGTCCAGCTCGACGTTGCCTCGAGCATCCCAACTAGGGCAGACTCAGTCCACCGTTCCCCCAACGATACTCCGGAAAGACCGCGTCTTCGTCCGCCCGCACTTCACGCAGAACATCCAGGAAGGGGACCACGTGCGGGTCCCCACTACCCATGTAGAACCTGGCAGTTCCTCCATTGGGCCAAATCCGCCCGGCCCAATGAAGGAACCTTGGCCCAGCGATGGGGGCTATAAATACCCTCTGTTTCCAGAGGGTCAGGTATTCATCATTCTAACCTCAACTTACTATTATCTGCTCGTACTCCTACTTACTTCAGCATCGGAGTGCCTTGCAGGTACCCCCCCCCCCCCCCACCTCGTTCAAAAAGCTTTCTGCTCGGAGCCAGCCGTGACGGTCCATTTCTGATCAGGTCAGATCAGTGGCGCCGTCTGTGGGAAACAGCTTCCCCGTCTAACGAACAATTCTAAGGACCAAAGCTCAATCTAACTACCTGTCATGGCTGATCCAGCTCACGACGAGCAGCCCGTCCGTGTCGCCGACACTAATAACGGTCCAGCGGACAAGAATGGACACCTCGACAATCCCGGTGATCCCGGCCACAATGCCATCCCTGTGACAACCGCCCCTGGACCTTCCACCTACAGGGACGGGAATACTGCATCATCCTCGACGACCCCTCCAGCACTCGAGGACGACCCGGTAGCTCTCGCCCATCACAGAGTTGCCCGGTTCTATGAGGTCCCAGTTCCTGCCGGGGCAGATGCCACGACTCAGGCACTGTTCGCGGCCATCAACCAGACAAATTATCTCATATTCGCCCAAGGAGAAAGACTAAGGGCACTTGAAAATGATCGACGACCCCCGAGGAGGCATCGGAGGCCACCTTCTCCACCTCCTCGGGTCGAAGAAGTTCGACACCCTTCTCCCCCGCGGAGACACTACAGGGAGAACTCCAGGAGCCCCTCTCCCCGACCAAAGCAGAGGCGGCCCAACTATGAGAGACAGCCCGCTATTCCAGCCGGGGAACCCAGTCGCGACCCATCAAGGCACGACAAGAGGCACCCCGGAGACGGGCGTGTGACCTTCAACCACCGAGCATCACGCTCGAGGGAATCTCAGCACGATCATCGTGCCAGACATAACTACAGGACCCCTTCTCTTTCTCCGGAGAGGAGCGACGAGGACGACCCCCGCGGTCCCCTGTCGCAGGCCATCATGGATGCACCTATCCCCCCGGGCATGGAGAAGCCCCCACATCTGAAGGAGTATGACAGAGTAGCAGACCCGGTCGACCACATTGACGGGTTCGAAGCCATGCTCCACTATCATAATGTCGGGGGGCCCATCAAGTGCCGTCTCTTCCCCACGACTCTCAGGAAGGCGGCCATGGACTGGTATAAAGGACTCGCCCCGGGCTCAATTACCTCGTGGCGGAACCTGAAGAACCAGTTCATCAGTTCTTTCACAGCTTCTTGGCGCCACCCGAAGACCGAGGTGGCCCTCGAGGCCATCATCCAAAGACAGGATGAAACCTTGAGGGAATTCATCAACCGCTTCAACCGGGAAGCAATACAGGTCCCCTGCGCGGACCATATGAAAAGATATTTGCTGGAGAGGGGCCTCCTCCCCGGCACAGAATTCAGAAAAGCTGTGGGTATTGAGCCACCTGCAACTTTTGATGCTCTCCTCGACAAAGCCCGAGCATACATGGACTACGAGGAGAGAGAAGCTGCCAACAGGGCACGAGACTCCAGGGCTCGCGCTCCCTATCATAGCAGCAGCTCGCGACAAGACCCTCCTCCCCGACGTACCGGGGAGAAAAGGAAGGAAGATCGACCCCGGGAGGTCCGGGAACAAAGGGGCCCCTCGGGCCGTTTCACCGAGTACACTCCGCTCACGGCTTCCCGCGAGCGTATTTTGGCGGAGTGTGCTAGCACAGATTTCAGAGACGGTGGCGTCAAGCGTCCCCGACCTGCTCCCGCCAAGCCAGGGGCAGACAAAAATAAATACTGTCAATACCATAGGAGTCATGGCCATTTGACAGAGGACTGCGTCCACCTCAAGGACGCCATTGAAACCCTCATCAAGGGAGGGAGGCTCGCACAGTACAGGCGAAACGACGCTCCCCTTCGTGACACCCATGAGGCCAAGGAGCCCAAAGAGAATGTCCGACCATCAGACGAGTCGGTACCAATCCAGACCGCCTTCTCGGTAACCAGGCCCGAGGATTTCGACGTTCCCGAGCTCCTGCAGGAGCCCCTGACAACACACAGCAGGTGGGAATACTTCCCTTCCGCCATGGTCATCAACGGGGGCGGGTTCAACGACCTCACCATCAATTCAGTCAAGAGGAAGTTGGACGAACTGGTCGACACAGCTCCTCCACAAACTGTGACGTTCGAAAGGGTGAAGGGCAGATCAGAGCCCATCACCTTCTACCTAGAAGAGCTCCCCGGCGGAGCCCCGAACACAGTCATCCCCTTGCTGATAAGGGCAAAGATGGCCAATTTTGACGTGCATCGCATCCTGGTCGACGAAGGGAGTTCCGTCGACGTGATGTACAGCCAGCTGTTCCGGACCTTGCAACTGGACGACTCACATCTC